AACTCATGATAAGGCTATCTGCATACATGAACCAAAAAGACAAGATCACGCGGGCAGGAGAGTAGCCCGTTAGAATCGCATTTAGGAAAAAAGTTGAACGATTTTGACATTAGCCGTTTGTTTACATTTCTTCGTTGTTTACAATTTGGTGGTGGCTTTTTACTGCAATTTTCTTCGTTTTCGCTTGTGACAACGTGTGTACACATAAGATAAAGAATAATTTAACACAACGGCATGATTTATAGAAGAATTTGCATAATAAAAATGATATTTCATGCGTTCAACAATTTCGCGGTTTTCTCCGTTCTCTTCGTTGTTTACTTCTTACAACAAAGATGGCGTCGAGATTTCGGCAGCTAGAAAATAACTTTTTTCGTTCTTTCTTTCCCGCGTGATCTTGTGTCTTTCGTTCATGATCTGCATACTTGTCGTTCAATCATAATTGTGTTATCGTTTCACCCTGAAAGAGCCAATTTATACGACGACTTTTCACCCTGCGTTTTTGGCACGTTCCATTTTAAAAAAGTCTTCGAAAATCCTCGTGCATTTACACGATGACTTTTTCTTTGCGGCGTTTCTTGCGAATTTTTGACATTTAAGCGTAAATTTTCTTTGGTAAACTCTTTCGTTCTCATTTTTAAAGCGGAGCGAATCGCGAACTCAAAGCAAAAATACGAAAAAGTGAACTCGATAAAAGCGAAACGTCGAAAAAACCTCTCGATTTCCCTCACCGTGCGTGCTTGCCTACCCCACTGACTTCGCTACACTTCTTGCCTTCAAGCTCGATACGCATGACTTTCCACCCAGGGTGAAAAGTCATCGTGTAAATTGGCTCAAATTTTTTAGCCGAGCAAATGCATTTAAAGGGGAGCTATTGGTAAGAGATGGGGTATCTCCCCTAAAGTTGTCTATTGGCTCTACGAAACCGTAATCAAGCCAATTATATTCTATGGGGCCCTAGTCTGGTGGAACTCACTGGAAAAGGCTATACTAGCTAGGAAGCTGGAGC